TTTTTCCCCAGGCTGTGCAAGTGAAACTCACTGGCAGGGTATTTACCAGATCTAGGGCTGAAAGAAGGGCAGGAAGATTCTCTGCATTTAAGTTCTCACTAACACTTTCTCCTACAAGAGATACCATTTTCATGTTTATTTACTGCAGGGAAGCATTGTTACTTTCAGTTGTTCACTTCCCTATCTTTTACTCTTTGTGTGTACCTTCCCAGTCAGCTTTCCAATTGGATTTTTAATCTTAAATAACGTGCCAGCTAGTGATAACTGACACGGAATCAGCGATATGGCATGTATGAACCTTGGGCAGAGTGTGAATGACGTCAGCGCAATGGCCTTCGCCTTCCCAGCAGATAAAGAATGAATTTGCATTTCCTGTGCTTTTCCCAATTCTTTTTGCACTGTAGAAACTTAGAGAGAGACATGTATTCATTTATCCATTTGATGGAGATACCTGCTTGAGACTACAAAAGATAGTTAGTCCTCCCTGGGGTTTGGAAGCTGGCTGTTGCCGGCTGTTTGAGGAGCATTACTGCAGCGTCAGCTGTACTCCGGGTAAAGCCAGTGTGAGGCACTTCTATTTTAAAATTCCATATTGGAGTAGCAGTTGGTTTAGACTTAAACTCAAGACCAAAACCCCAACTGGTCTTTCTCAGCAGGCTCTATTTAACATCATCCTTGGGGTTTGGGAAAGGGACAGACAGAAATTTCCCTGTTCCTGTTTTTCAGCCTAGCTTTAGGCTTTCTGTTCATTCCCCCTTTTCTTTGAAAGCTGTAAGGGATGATGTGCAAAAAACCCAAGATAATGTTGCATTGAACTTTTGTTTCCTTTAAAGGCATTATCAGTTTTAAGGATGGCCTTTTCAGTAGCAGCATTCTTTTCCAGAGGCGAAAGTGTAATAAAAAGTACTAAGTATTAGACCAGATTTAACGTTGCTCAGAGCTTCCCCCTGTTGAATACCTTCCCTTAAAAGAAGATCATGTGTTTAAAACTGCTCATCTAAATGTAAGTCCTACTGTACAGATGGCCCTTAATATGAGGATCTTGTTTCTCCAAAGACTGTGACTGGAGTGATGGGTATGATTGAAAGTTGCTGCAAGGGACAATGTCAATGATACTCTTAACTGATCAACAGAAAGCCCCACTAATTTGCAAATTTTTAGACTTGAGGGGACCCTTTGTCTGCTCTGAAGCTGTAACAAGCATCTGTAATCTCTCTTCCCGTGGATGTTAGCATTGCATTTAAGTATTATTACAGGATTAAGTAAATTGTGTGCCCAGGGAATTCGGTACAGTGAGCTGGTATTTCTGCAATGCTGTATCTCACCAGCAGAGCCTCCAACCTGATCCATGATACCGCATCCAAGGAAATGCTGCTGCTTACAGGCAGTTGCCACAGAGCTCTTGGCAGTCTGGAGGAGCCACGGAGGACAGTCAGAGTCTGGATGCGGAAGAGGTCACAGGTTCCGGCCCTTAAGACTTGCTTGTGGGGAAGTGAGCTGACAGCAATGTTAACTGTGATGGACGTGCTAGCTGTTGCAATTTCCCTGGGATGAGTTTCTTAGAGAAAGTGGTGTTTCCTAATATGTGCTGCTGAGTATTTCCCCTTGTGAGATGCCTGTTGATGGGTCACCCCGGCTCTGGGTCACCCAGCTGCCTGCAGAGCATTCCCAGTGGGCTTTCATTGAAGGGGACCCTGAGACAGAGCCATGATGCACAGAGGGAGGTGAGCAGCTCTCGGGAGAGCACAGAGCCATGAGCCAAGGAACGCGTGTGCTATCCAATGCCAGCGTATTAGACCTCTTCCAGTAGCAAGTCCAAAGAAAACCCTCAAACTCAGACAGCCCAAGGCGGGTATTTTCATCCTCAATCAGAATGGGGCACAGGAAGCATTTAAACTTGCTCTGCTTACCAGGACAGAGTTCAGAATATGGAAGGGCAAAGCCAGATTAAAGCAGGAGCCTTAAAGATAGGAGTGAAAGAGCTGGTGTGTCCCTCCAGCCGTTGCTGCTTGTGTTTGTTCTCGGGGTGGAGTTCCATAACTTTACTGCTGAATTGAAAGGTATTTAGCAATATTTAACAATGTAGGCTTGATCAGGATAGATTGTATTGAGACTTCATGTCATATTCTGACTCAAAATGAGTTGCTTAGGGTTGGAGTGGATGTTGGAATATATGCTGTCAGTGTGGTGATTTATAAAGCCATAAAGTGAAACTGCCAGCTCCGTGAAAACAGATCCAGCTTGGTAAGAAATGTGGTAAGAAACGCAACTTTCAGATTCCCAGATTTAAAAGTAGTAATAATAATTCACAGCAGAGCCCTACATGGCACAGCAGCGTTAGTCCACTGTGAGTCCGATCTTAGGGAGAGCAAGTAATTTGCATGGGATTACATTACTTAAATGCTTTAGGTACTGTGTCTTCTAACAGGAACCCCTCCATTGTACTCAGGGATGGAAAGAGTCTGCTCTCAAAAAACACCAGTTTGTTGAAAGGGGAACACTTCACAGAAACAGATCTGTTCCAGGAAAGCTTGTTTATCTGAGCCAGGGTGGAACCTGGGAAAACACTACCAAGATAGCCAGTAGTCAGGTCTCTCACTTTGGACATAGGTTTCTTCTTTAGCCCACATCCCTGTTTCCTAGGTGCCAAGGAAGTAGTAGGCTCCTGTGGATCGTTGGGTGGGTGCTGCTCCTTGTACTTCCACATCATTTTAGAAAGGTTCCGCTTTGATTGTCAGGGCTAATTCAACTGAATCTCAAAATCTTATGTGTGTTTTTAAGACAGAATTTTTATTTTCTGGCCAGCTCTATTTATACATTCAGAAATGCAAGTCCTTTGCCTTGTTTAAATAAGAGTTAATGAAAACCTTTAAATGGCTTGGCAGCCTTACAGTCTATGTCTTGGATACAATAGTCGGCTTGTGTTCAGTCCGAAGTTAATGGACATCTGGGGCAGTTTCTAGGTTGCTGTCAGACAGAGCCGTTTCTGGACATTTTGGTTTTATAGGAAAGGTTTAAATTAAGAGTGCTTTCCCCCTCCTCTCCCAATAACTTTTCCCTTAAACAGTGTCTTTGTTTTATTCTGTGCCCATTTATTGCTATTCTTCCTCAGCTTTCCTTTTCCAGGATTTTTTCCAGCAAGCAAAAGGAGCACAATTGCAAACATGCTCAAGACGTTGCTAAACCGCATGCAATTTAAAGAGGAAATTAGTATTTTGTTGAATAAATGATAGTAGATAAACTCCTGCTTTGGAACTAAAGAGCTCTTCGGTTCCAAAATTCTAGAGGGCATCCCCTGCCCCCAGCAGGGTCGCTGCTAGGGGAGTTTATCATGTTAGAGATGCTGAAATGTTTTAATGATGAGCCAAAAATGGGTGCTCTTCAAATGTTATCTTCCTTTCTGGTGCCAGAGACCTGCTCGCTAGAGGAAAACACAGGAATAGTTTGAATGTGAGGCTGGCGTTTGGTTTTGATCTTGTGTTTGAATTGCAGTGTAACTGCCCCTGTGTTGTTGATTTGTGGCTGAAGTTTCCCCTAGGTCTGGACAAACTTGTTTAGGTAAATGGGAATGTGTTCGTTCCCCTGGCCCATGCTGGGTGCTTGCGTGCCTCCAAAGGAGCCGTTTCTCGGTTGGAGAGGGACTAACTGCGGCGTTAAAGGGTGCAGTTCAGATGTGCGGCTAATGGATTTGTGCCACCCTTCACCACTTGGCCGAGGCATCATTTGTGCCAAAGCTGACGTACTGAGTGACAAACTTGTCACAGTTCGGCCAAGCCATCCTGCAGCCTGCCAAGCCTTTGCAGTTGCACTGTGCTTACCAGCTCTTCCCTGCGTGTGTGGACCGATGCAGTGATCTGACAGACCATCACTGGAATTGAAAGATTGTCAGCAGATTGTGGCTCTTCAGTTCTCCTAAAATCAACTGTTGCTTTCAGCATTTGGTCTCTTTTGTATTA